CCCTTCTTGTTGTTCCTCGTGTCTGGCATATCCTGCCTCAGTGTTTATATTTGAAGTTCCCTCACCAGGGATATTCTTCCTCTGAACAATCCCATGTCCCTTTCCTCCACCATTTAGTCTCTGGTTGTTATCCTATGCAGAAGACTTTCCAAGCCCTTCTAAAATAGCATCTTCTTACCTGACTCTATGGCATCTGTCACCAACTGACAGTCCATTATTTATTTGCATGTTCATTTGCTTTACTGGCTGCCTCCCTATTAAAATGTAAGATCTATGAGGGCAGCCTATTTGCCCATGCTGTTCACTGCCTGGCAAAGTGGGTACTAAAACATTTGTTGAATTTTAAGATATATGAAACTTTTCGGTTATCTCCAAAGGATTATGAAAACCTTTCAATAGGTAAGTTATACATTTCAGTAATGTTTGAAATGTTTACAATAAGCATGTTGATATAGTTTAGGTATGTGTGCCTGCCCAAATCTCATGTTGAATTGCAATCCCCAACGCTGGAGGTGGGGCCGCGTGGGAGGTGTTTGGATCATGGGGACAGATCCCTCATGGCTTGGTGCTTGTGTTTACAATAGTTACTAAGTTCTTTCAAGATTTAGTCATTTAAAAATGTGTGGCTTCTTTCCCCCATATCTATTTCTTTCTTATTTCTTTCTTTCTTTCTTTCTTTCTCTCTCTCTCTCTCACCATGCTACATGCCTGCTCTGCCCTCACCTTCCGCCATGACTGTATGCTTCCTGCGGCCTCCCCAGGAACTGAGCAGATGCCAGCACTATGCTTTCTGTAAAGCCTGCAGAACTGTGAGCCAATGAAACCTCTCTTCTTTATAGATTAACGAGTCTCAGGTATATCTGTATAGCAATGCAAGAACTGACTAATACACATGTATTACTTTGGTTATCAGGGAAAAAAAGAGCAAATAATAAAAATATTAAAGCTTAACAATAACAAAAAGGAATCCAATTATATGACCTGAAACTGTATTTACGTAAGTTACAGAAAAGTTTATAAGTAGGTCAGTAGGACCTAGACAAGGATTACAAATAAGTTTTACCTTGGAAGTCAGCTGTAGTTGGCTGGTTGTGGTTGCTTGAAGCACTATGTCAAAAGGGACCCTGAAGCTAAGTCAGTTTTAGCAGGCAGAAGTACCATAATGAGGAACATTTTCCAGGAAAACAGAAGGAGTGGGAATAGTGGCATTCATGACAGATGAATTCCTATGCCAGATGAATGCCACTCCATGACGTAAAATCCAGGTGTGGACTATTTTCAACCCTTTCTTTTCAGTTGGCTGCTCCCAAGAATGCCTACTTGTACACTCTTTGTCTACCTGAAATTTCCATATAAACGTAAGAGATCTCAAACTTACATCCAAGAAAGAACTTCTGATCTATAGTCCCCTTCAAAAACAAAAACATTACCTTTCTCCCAGTTCCCTCTCTTTCAGTAATGACACCTCATTCACTCAGTTATCCAGGTAACTCTAGAGACTATCCCTAATTCCCTTCTTTCACTCAACGCTGACCCATACATTCATATTCTCAAGCAAATCTTGTTAGCTGTACCCCAAAGCATTTTCTAACTTTATCTGTGTCTCTCCAGATCTAAGGTTAGTACCTAAGACCAAGCCACCATGGCCTCTCATCTGGTCCACTTTAATCTAATAGCCTTCTAGCTGGTCGGCCTGTTCTCACTTGTTCCCCCTTATAATCTATTATCCACATGACAGCCAAAATCATTTTTTAAAATGAATATCAAATAATGTCACATCCTTATTGTGTTCCATTGCACTTGTAAAAAATCCAAACTCTTAACCCAGGTAATCTTCCCCAGCCTATTTTTCCAACTTTATCTCAAACCACTCTCTTCTTACTCCCTATGCTTCAACCATACTGGCCTCCTTTCAGTATCAAAGCTGTTTTCACCACAAGGCCTTTCTAACAACTGATCTCTAGACTAGAATGTTTTTCCTCTGACAAGCTTTTCTTACAACAATAAGATCTCAGGTTAAAGGTTTCTTCTTCAGAAGTCTTCCAGATCTACTCAATTTAAAGTAGAACTCAATCACTATCATATAATTATATCTTAAATCTACACAATACAAATAACTATTTGACATCTGAGTAGTCTAATTTATTAATTTGTTTGTTGTCTCATTCCCCTATCACAACATAGGATCAAGACAGTGAAGATCTTGTCTTTTTAAGATTAGGTAGGTGAGAGGGCCTACTTAATAAATATTTGGTGAAGACAATTTGTGTAGTTTTCTTAATGTGTGTTATATTCAGTAAAACAAGTTTCTCTTGTGGTGTCTGTGTGTGTTTATTTAGTTAAATTAGAGAAATAAATGAATGAAAACAGAACTAAGAATTCCCAATTTGGAATTAAAGTGATTCTTTGAGGTTGAAAAAGACCCACAAATTTATTTTGATTCAAATTCAAAGTGTACCAACTTTTTTTTTTTTTTTTTTTTTTTTTTGGCCAGGGAGATTAGGTGCTGACTTTAAAACAATGAAAAAACATTCGCCCTAATGGAGCTCCAGAGTGATAATAAACAGGCTATAGCAAGTAAATGCCATGAAAAGGGTTCTACAGTAGAAGGTGCTATAGGTACACTTAACTGAGCCTGGGAGGTAAAGCATCAGGAAATGCTTCCCAAAGAAGTGCCATTTAAACTGAATCTGATCTAAACGATGAGTAGTTGTGATACATACACGTGTGTTGGTGGGAAGGGGTGGGGGTGGGGAAAGGAAGGCATGAAGTATAAGGGTATTTTAAACAGAGGAAACATGAGCAAAGCCCAGAATCCAGAGAACTGATAATATACTCAGGAAACTAAAAATAACTTACTGTAGCTGAAGAGCAAAGTATGAACTGAGAAGTACTGAAAGAGACCAAAGAGGTCAGCAAGGGTAATATTATGAAGGCCTATTATGGAGTTCGGACTTTATCCTAAGGGTAAGAGTCATTAGAGGATTTAAGTAATTTTTATATGTAACATAGCCCTCGTTAATAAAAGATAATTTTAGCCAATGTGAAGTGTTTAGAGGGAGACAGAGAGGTCAATGTGGAGAATGCTACAGTTTTCCAGGCAAGACATAATTGTAGCCTGAATTAGCATACTAAGAGTGGAGACATAAATGAATATTAAGATCTTACTCTGAGAAGTATTTAAACAATTAGGTGAACACTAAAAGCACAAATAAAGAAGTACAGTTGTAACAGTGAATAAATTACCAAAAATCAGATTTCACAGAATATGGGACATCTCAGCTGAACTTTCCAGAAGTACAGTAAGATTTCCAAAGAAAAAAAGGTACTTCAAACTATATGAAATCCATTTTTTTCCTTTTTATATAAAGGCAGGCTTTCACTCTGTCACCCAGGCTGGAACCACTGGCACCATCATAGCTAACTGCAGCCTTAAACTCCCAGGCTCAGGAGATCCTCCTGCCTCAGCCTCCCAAGTAGCACTATAAGTACACAACTACCATGCCCAGCTAATTTTTAAATTTTTTTGTAGAGACATGATCTCACTATGTTGCCCAGGCTGGTCTTACACTCTCCTGGTCTCAAACAAGCCTCTTGTCTCAGCCTCCCAAAGTGCTGGGATTATAGTTGTAAGCCACTGTGCTGAGCCTATAACAGACTTTAATATAAAAGGGTTATTTCCTTGTTCAAATAATTTGAAGAAATTAAAAAATAATCTGTGTGTTTAAAACATATATCTTATTTTTTTAGGCAGAAACTCTAAAAATCTCCATTTATGACTAACCGTATATTATGATTCCATCATACTCTATTAATCGATTCTAATAAACTACTAGCTATAAGAATCATGAGGGTCTGGTCTCTAGTAGCTCTCTGTTATCATTACAAAAAAGTTTTCTTGACAGTAAAATCACAATGAAAAAATAAAAACAGTTAAGACATATACAGTGTATATGGACATTTCTAAATAACTGAAGACTTTAAAATAATATAACATATTGTCTTATCATTATGATAAAAATTAAACCAATATAAAATATATCTCAGGGTGAGTTAAACTTAAAAGATAACAATATAATCTAATTCAACAAACATTTATTGAGAATTTATACACCTACACAAGTCTATCTTTCCGTATACACTGGCACTAAAGTAGGCAATAGAAAGATAAAGAGCTAGGAGACAGATGCTTCCTCAAAAATTTTGTAAGCCAGATAGGAAGACAGACATAATTCATTTCAGGAAGCATTTTTACAAGACTTCTGAAATGATAATGTGACTTTATGAATAAAAATGGTTCTAGTAGAGACTTTGATATTCTTTTACATTTAATAATGTAAGATGCAGATGTCAAAGGAATAATACACTAACTATAGTGAATATATTTTATATTTCCATAATTTTACTCTATAGATATAATGTTGGATTCAAGAAAATTACTACTGATTTGAACTATGACCAAAAAGTTTAACTGCCAAGTATCAAAAAGAAACAGACTGTAGGTAAGAAATACATGGCAAACACAGAAAACATATGAAGACTAAAAGAAAATCTGGCTGGGTGCAATGGCTCATGCCTGTAATCCCAGCATTTTGTCGGGCAGAGGTGGGTGAATCATCTGAGTTCAGGAGTTCAAGACCACCCCGGCCAACATGGTGAAACCCTATCTGTACTAAAAATACCAAAATTAGCCAGGCAGTAATGTATGGCTGGTTGCAGGTGGCTGTCATCCCAGCTAGTAAGGAGGCTGATGCAGGAGAATTGCTTGAACCCGGGAGGCAGAGATGGCTGTGAGCTGAGATCACACCACTGCATTCCAGCCTGGGCAATAGAGCGAGACTCCATGTAAAAAAAAAAGAAAAGAAAAGAGAATCTATGTAGTAATGTCATAAAAAGCAAAGGAAAACAACATAATTATTTGTACTTTAGATCTGTAATTTAAGTAACATATTTATCTCCTAGTTCTTATTTTAATACTTGAAAGTAACAGTAACACTTACCTTACAACTATAAGAATGGCTATAAGTATTGAACAGATAGGATCTGCTATCATCAGACCAAAATTTTGCATCATGATGGCAGAAGCAATTACACCAATACTTCCAAGTGTATCTGCTAGGATATGTAAAAATACACCTAGAAATAAACCATAATAAAAATCAAAACAGTATCTTTTGTAATTGGAAATACAAATATATCCTAGAACTATACTCTTAATTTTATATATAAAAAACTAGATATCAATTTTAAAAGTAAGTAAGCATGTATATTCACTGTTTAGTAATCACATTTTTTAATTAAAATCATTTTTCTGTTTCAAATCAACAGTGATTAAAATATCTGACTGGTAAATTATACTTGTCCTTAATGGTATAAATGAAGTAGAGAAGTAAGGTGATTTTTTAAAATTGTTTGTGAACATTCACCTCTGGCTAAAAGCAGTCCAAAAGTTAGTAATTTGTTAGGGGAAGGAAACTGCATTAGGCTAAAAGAACTGGTCAAGAAAACATTTTAACTATAGATACACGTACCTACAGAGCCCTCTGCTGGTGATTAGAATTATTACCATTTGGGACTACAATTTCCTATAAACCGTAACTCTATTTATCCTGTTATTACCCTAAAAGCTCCACCTAAATTGGTTACATACTACACTCAAAGGTGATGTAAAAGAAGGCAGAGATTTGAATATTTTAAAATAAATATAAAATACATGTTGAACTTTTAATAATTAAATATTAATTTGGTAGAATACTGATGTTATACTGATAGAATCTAAGAACTTAAACATAATAACATTTAGTAAGTCAGAGTTACCCGGAAAACAACTTAAAATGTCAGGAAGTAAGATTTATGTACAATATTTCCTGAGAAAGCTCAACTAAGACAAATTATTTAGATCTTTAAGATGAAATTTCTATATAGCAAAACATTCTCTTAAACTTCAACCATATCTTGCTAATAGAACATGCTTCAACACCATCATCTGCCCTATCTGAAAAGAAAAAGTTAATGCATAAAAAGCACATATCTATTTAAGAAATAATTCTTCCTTTTTATTATTTGCTGCACAATAAAGGGCAAACTATAATTATTATTATTTGAAACAAAACAACAAGTTTTGCTCTTGTTGCCCAGGCTGGAGTGCAATGGCACAATCTCAGCTCACTGCAACCTCTGCCCACCAGGTTCAAGCGATTGTCCTGCCTCAGCCTCCAGAGTAGCTGGGATTACAGGTGTGCACCACCATGCCCAGCTAATATTGTATTTTTAGTAGAGATGAGGTTTCTCCATGTTGGTCAGGCTGGTCTCGAAATCCCGACCTCAGCTGATCCCCTGCCTCGGCATCCCAAAATGCTGGGATTACAGAAACGAGCCACCATACGTGGCCTAACTATAATTATTTTTAGGTATAGAAACACAAACTTAAACTCAAGAAATTTTCTCATAATTTAAAAATTGGTAATGAGTCAAATCAAATCTTGTGTTCAAATCAAATTTTCTGCCACTGATGGAAATTTGTATGAAATATTACATTAAATATAAATTATCCCTCACTACCTACATATAACTTTTCACTTATATACAGTTTGACTCATTATAACTGTTCTTCAAAAAGAACTGCTCTTTAAGAACAGCTCTCGGCCGGGTGTGGTGGCTGATGCCTGTAATCCCAGCACTTTGGGAGGCTGAGGCGGGTAGATCACTTGAGGTCAGGAGTTCGAAACCAGCCTGTCCAACACGGCAAACCCGTCTCTACTAAAAATACAAAATTAGCCGGGCATGGTGGTGCATGCCTATAATCCCAGCTACTCGAGAGGCTAAGGCAGGAGAATCACTTGAACCTGGGAGGTGGAGGTCGTAGTGAGCCAAGATCGTGCCACTGCACTCCAGCCTGGGCAACAAGAGCAAAACTCCATCTCAAAAAAAAAAAAAAAAAAAAACAACTCTCTTAAAAACTCTTCCAAAACAAAAGAATTTAGTCAGATATACTTATAGAATATTCAGTTCCTATCAGCTATTTCAAATAGCAATGATTTATGTACAATATTTCCTGAAAAAAAATCTCAACTAAGACAAATTACTCAACATTTACATCTTTAATACAAAATTTCTATATAGCAAAACATTCTTAAACTTCAACCATGCCTTACTAAAAATAGAACATTCTTCAACACCATCATCTGCCCTATCTGAAAAGAAAAAGTTAATGTAAAAAGAACACGTTATCTACTGGAGAAATAGGTTAATAATGTTGGGCCACTTTACTTTTAAAACTAAAACTGAAAAAAAAATATACATCAAAGGAGATTGAAGGTCACTAACTACAAACTCCAATATATGATACATGCTTTTAAACCTTTACATTCTTTAATCAGTGTTTTGGTAGAATAAAAAAATGAAAATAACTCTAAATATAAAAGGAAAAAGAAAATAATGATTTGTTCCTGATTTTCCTTAGACTTGAAAGTCCCCTGCTACAATTTATTTGCTAACCTGAAAACTGATTTTATCAGTAAGTGTCATTAAAACTAGCTAAGCCCTTCTTACTATACAAACTATTTAAGAAAAATCACTAAGAAAGAAATATAAACTAGGATGTTTAACTTATCCAAGTTAAAAGCCTTAGAAGACGTGGTAGGATTGTGATAATCTAACTCCCCAAGAACTTAGTAAGCTAGGGGTCAAGATGTAGCAAATAATTGAAAATTTTAGTTAATTCAAGTTTTTCATGCATGAGTATCTATCTACCTGGTCGTTTTACAATAAGTTTTTAATACCAAGTAGATACCTCTGTTCTTCAGCTATTTACTAGGCTCTTCAGCCACCAGTAACTGATGAATATTCAGAAAATATAAACTTATTTTCATAGTAAGTTATACAAAAGAAAATGAAGAAGACAAATCTAACTTCTTTTCCTCCAACTTGTGATGATTTTCAAAATTAAATTATTATTATCAAGGCTAATTTATAGTACTGGATATAGATGCATCAAATATGCATGATTATAAGCTATTTCGGCAAACGTTATTTTAAAACAATTCCATATATTTTGTAAATGGAAAAGTTGTGATTGGAAGACACATTTAAGCCTTCTGAAAATAAATTTATCAGTATGAAGGAATATATTCACAGTGAAAAAATAAAAAACAAGAGTTATATGAAGAAATAGTGGTGCAGTTGAGATTGAATCAGAAACCAATCAGAAAAGTCAGACTGAAGTCAAAAGTTAATAAAGGCAAGAAGATAGCAGAAAATTAGGAAACTCTGACAATAAAGTCTAAATAGAAACACAGATCCAGAGATTGGTTCATAACCCGACCCCTCCCCCAAAAAACTACTATAATTCATAGACGGGATTGATTTTCTCTGGCTTGTATAACTTTGCAATATACAATTTTATACAACATGTAAGCTCTTACAGGTATTAGTTATGGATGGCCTACAAATATGATGGAGTTCTCAATCTGCATTAGATTTTTAGCTCTAAATTTTTCCACAACATAAAAATATATTAAATATTATTCTTGGAAAAACTATGTAATAATCTTATAAAGGCAAACACACAACTACAAACAGTCCTCGACTTAAAATGATCAGCTATGACTTTTCAACTTCACGATGGTGCGAAGTTCAGTAGAAACCGAACTTCAAATTTTGAATTTTGGTCTTTTCCTGGGCTAGCAATAATGTGCTATGATCATTGTGATGCTGGGCAGCCACAGCAGGCTCCCAGTCAGCCAGGTGATCGCAAGGGTAAACAACCGATATTACACTTCACAGTGGACTGTATTCAATAAAGTACATGAGATATTCAACACTTTATTACAAAATAGGCTTTGTGTTAGATGATTTTGCCCAACTGTAGGCAGATGCCAAGTGTTCTGAGCACATTTAAGGCAGGCAAGGCAAAACTACTATGTTCAGTAGCTTAGGTGTATTTAATGCATTTTCAACCTACAACATCTTTAACTTACCACAGGTTTAGTAGGCTATAACTCCACAGTAAATCAAGAAGATCTATACAATGTTTACAGTCACAGGCGTGGCCATTACTTATATTTAAGCAGAATAGTTTCTGAATCTTTTTCTTTTGAGATGGAAGTCTCACACGTTACCCAAGGTGGTCTCAAACTCTTGGGCGCAAGCAATTCTCCCACCTCAGCCTCCTAAGTAGCTGGGATTCTGGGGCACATGCCAACTGTACCCAGCTCAATATTTTACTTTTCTTATTAAATCAGAGAAAACAGTCAGAGATCATTAAAAGAATGTCTGCTAATATATCTACTAGTATATTTTAAAAGATCACCAGAAAGGCTAACATTCTAAACACAAACACTATGTCATACATTTTTCTTAAAGGAAAACTTCAGACAACGAAAACTTCAAAAACTATAAAAGCGGTTTCAAAAAACTAAGAAACATAAAAATCGCTTGTCATACCTTGTAAAATCTGTCTGCTGGGTCCTGTTGTTTCTTTTAAGGAGGGGCCATCTGTAGAGAATTAAGTTATTTTAAAACATGTTTTCAATTCCCCATTCAAATGTTTACAACTCAAAGTCCTTTTCATTTAAAGGCATCATCAGGAATGCATGGCTATATAGCCATATCAAAATTACAAATTTATTTTTTAAATGTAATAAAATAACTCAGTGGAAGTAAATTTAGTGGAGGTAATTTTAAAATTCATCAAAGGCATGGAGTATTTCAGGAATTATTGTATTAAAAAAGATTAAAAGCACAGGAAATTAAAAAACACTATGAAAATCTTCCAATACTCATATCTTCTAATACTTTTACAACTGGAAAATTCAGAGAAAATCAAATGTACTGCTTGAAGTTATAAGGCCCAAGAAATGAAGCCAGGACAGAAAGATAACCCGACTACGGTAATAGTAGTTTTTCAACAGCTTCTAGCTTAATGTGGCAAACTCTTCATACAGAAGAGATAAAAACACTACTTTTTTTTTCATTTTGCCTTTATGATAAAAAAAAATGCTATAACTTCTATCCTTAAATATCTGGAAAATTACTAATCACCTTTAACACTAAAGCAGAAAATACAGGTAAACAAGACAAAAGATTACCAATATTTGTTTAAACAGAGCATCAGGAAGACTGACTAGCTTTCTGATCACAGTAACAAAGTATATGCTATGTCATTTATTCATGGCCCACAGCACCAAAGAGGTCAAAGTATCTTTATCAGTAAAGTTTTGGTAGAGTATTGCAATAATATTCTGCAATAATGTAACAAAGAAATACAAAAGCATAATACCACATAATATTTCCTATCTAGATATTATACTGCTGTGTGGGAACGAAGTAGCTACCCTAAAAAATCCAGCTGATAGCCAGAAGCTTGAGGAATATGCAGTTTTCAATATTATTTTGACATGCATGTGAGCAAAAAAGTTGGAGAAGCAAGGTTTTAAAGCATACCTGTGTAACTGTTATAAAAATACAGCATATTTTAGAGACTGACACAGGCCACAGGCAAAAATAGACAAGTGGGATTACTCCAAATTAAAAAGCTTCTGCGAGGCAAGGGAACCAAATAACAAAATGAAAAGACAACTTACAGAATGATGGAGGATATTAGCAAACTATGTATCTGACAAAATGTATATGGAACTCACAATCAACAGCAAAAGTAAATAAGTAACCTAATTTAAAAATGGTCTGAGAGTCACAGAAAGACACACAGTGCATGTTCTCACTTACTTGTGGAGTATAAAAAAATCAAAACAATTGAACTCATGGACGCAGAGAGTAGAATTATGGTTACCAGAGACTGGGAAGGGTAGTGTGGTGTTATGGGGGGTGTGGGGATGGTTAATGGGTGCACACACACACACAAACAAAAAAATAGAAAGTATGAATAAGACCTACTATTTGAAAGCACAATAGGGTGACTACAGTCAATAATAACTTAACTGTACCTTTCAAAATAACTAAGAGTATAACTGGACTGTTAGTAATACAAAGGATAAATTCTTGAGAGAAAGACACCTCATCTCCATATGATTATTTCACACTGCATGCCTGTATCAAAACATCTCATGTATCCATAAGAATATACACCTGGCTGGGCACAATGGCTCATGCCTGTAATCCCAGCACTTTAGGAGGCCGAGGAGGGTGGATCACGATGTCAGGCGTTAGAGACTAGCTTGGGCAACCTGTTGAAACTCAGTCTCTACTAAAACACAAAAAATTAGCTGGGCGTGGTGGCAGACGCCTGTAATCCCAGCTACTCGGGAGGGTGGGAGAACTGCTTGAACCCGGGAGGCAGAGGTTGCAGTGAGCTGAGATTGTGCCACTGCACTCCAGCCTGGGTGACAGAGCAAGACTTCATCTCAAAAAAAAAAAATGTGTGTGTTATATATACGTGTGTGTGACACACACACATACATACATATATATCTATTGGCCAGGTACAATGGCTCACACCTGTAATCCCAGCACTTTGGGAGGCCAAGGTAGGCAGAGGAGATTGACACCATCCTGGCTAACATGGTGAAACCCCATCTCTACTAAAAATACAAAAAATTAGCCAGGCATGGTGACACATGCCTATAATCCCAGCTACTCAGGAGGCTTGAACCTGTGAGGCAGAGGTTGCAGTGAGCTGAGATCACATCACTGCATTCCAGCCTTGGTGAAAGAGCAAGATTCCATCTTAAAAAAATTTAAAAAATAAAGACTATATGTCTACTATGTACCCACAAAATTAAAAATTAAAAAAAAATTATAAAAAAATAAATGAAATAAAATTTTTTTAAAAAATTAAATGGCCAAATATTTGAATGGACAGGTCTTCAAAGAAGACATACAAATGGCCAACAGATACATGAAAAGATGCTCAACATCACTAATCATATGGGAAATGCAAATCAGAATCACAATAATATATCATATCATACCTGTCAGAATGGCTATTACCAAAAATGCAAAAGACAAGTGTTGGCAAAGCTGTGGAGAAAAGGAAACCCTTGTATACTACTGGTGGCAATGTAAACTGGTACAGACACTATGGAAAACAGTATGGAGGGTCCTCAAAAAAATAATAATGGAACTACCATATAATCAGCAAGCTGGGTATTATATCCATGAGAATTGAAATCAAGATCTCAAAGAGATATCTGCACTTCCATATTAACTGCAGCATTATTCACAATAGCGAAGACATGGAAGCAACATAAATGTCCATCAACAGATGAATGGATAAAGAAATGTGGTACATCCATACAATGGAATATAATTCAGCCTTAAAGAAAGAAAGAAAATTTTGACAACATGAATGATCCTGAAGGACATTATGCTAAGTGAAATAAGCCAGATACAGATTGACAAATACTACATTTATACTACTTATATGAGGAATCTAAAATAGTCAAATTCATAGAAATAGAGAGTAGAACACTGGTTGCCAGTGGTTGGAGGGAGTTGGAAATGGGCAAATATTAGTCAAAGGCCACAAAGTTTCAGTTGTGCAAAATAAATAGGTCCTAGAGATTTGTATGACATAGTGCCCATAGTTAATACTGTTTTGTAAACTTAAAAATCTGCCAAAAGTGTAGCTCTTATGTTAAGTGCTCTTACTGCAAAAGAGAAAGAAAGAAAGGAAGAAAAGAAAGTAAGAAAAAAAAGGAAGAAAAAAGGAAGAAAAGGAAGGAGGGAAGGAGAAAGAAAGGAAGGAAGAAAGAATTGAGTGTAGGAGGAAACTTTCAGTGGGAATGGATAGGTTTACTGAAGAAATCATGGTGATGGTTTCATGCCTGCATATTTATCTCCAAACTCATCAAGTTGTATACATAGTTACCTCTTTTCATATGTCAATCACATCTCAATAGTTAGACTTTTTTTTTTTTAGACAGAGTCTAGCTCTGTCATCCAGGTTGGAGTCCTGGGTTCAAGCCATTCTCCTGCTTCAAGGAAAAATTTCAAAGACTGAAGAATGAACGGCTTAGAAGGCTCACTCTCCAAGATCCCTTTCATATTTTCAAATCTAAAGCTTTAGGGTTCTGTCTATGTTGCAAATACGAGATAATATTTAAGCATACACTCTATTGAGACTAATCAAATTGTGTCACTTAAGTAGCTTCTATTAAGTTATATTTTATTTTATTTTATTTTATTTTATTTTTGAGACTGAGTTTCACTCTTGTTACCCAGGCTGGAGTGCAATGGCACGATCTTGGATCACCGCAACCTCTGCCTCCTGGGTTCAGGCAATTCTCCTGCCTCAGCCTCCTGAGTAGCTGGGATTACAGGCATGCACCACCATGCCCAGCTAATTTTTTATATTTTTAGTAGCGATGGGGTTTCACCATGTTGACCAGGATGGTCTCGATCTCTTGACCTCATGATCCACCCGCCTCGGCCTCCCAAAGTGCTGGGATTACAGGCGTGAGCCACTGCGCCTGGCGCTATATTTTATAAACTATATAAAATATACTTCAAAATGAAATACTGAGTTGATAAACACCTCATAACTTAGTACTCAATGCTATATAAGTTAGCATCTAAATATTTCTAACATAAATATCAGGTGACAGACATCAAAAATTATAATACAAGTGGGAAAATTGAAAACCTCTACCATATTTTTAGAAGCCTATATAGCACAGAAGGCCTTGTGATGCTTAAAAAATTAGAATTTTCATTTCCTAAAATGCGATTGTTCCTCATGCACTAACACTCATTTAATATAGTGGCATTTGGGAGAATGGGAGAGGGAATGGTTAATGGGTACAAAAAAATAGTTGAAAGAATGAATAAGACCTAGTATTTGCTAGCACAACAGGGTAACTACTGTCAAATATAATTTCACTGTACATTTTAAAATAACTAAGAGAATAATTGGATTGTTTATAACACAGGACAAATGTTTGAGGGGATGGAAACCCCGTTTACACTAATGTGATTACTATGTGTTACATGCCTATACCAAAATGTCTCATGTAACCCATATATACAACTACGATGTACCCACAAAAATTAAAAATTAAAAATAAATACATAAAAGAGTGGCATTTTATTATGATATACCCCCTAGTAAAAAGCTAACATCCACTGCCTTATACCAAATTAATTTCATGCTATACTAAAAGTAAACTAGCCCTGGGAACCATTTAGACTGATTCATTAGAAAAGAAGTTGATTGCGTATCTTTCTAATAAACTATTTCAACTAGGAAAAATAATCCATAAAAGTTTCATTTATTTGGAGGCTGCCCATTTTGTCTTCAGGCTGTACTCACCATGAGAATGAAAGTGTCCATGTCCATGAGCATGATCATGGCTATGTGCAGCACCATGTTTCACATCATGGCTATGGCAATGATCGACATGGCCATGTGGCTGATCTAGAGCACCATTAAAAAGGGAATGACTGTGTCCATGGCCTAGAAAAAAAAGTGTTAGCACAGAAGGTATTTAAAAATATATAAATGGTTACAATTATACTGATACTAGTGCAAAGAATCAGCTCTAAACTCAGATCAATTCAAGAAACATCTACTTGTAAAAAGTGTTACAGATTTATTAAAACAATCCTAAGTTCCTGCTATGGAGTACCAGAAGGTAATAAAGCATAGAGGAAAGTGATAGACCTTACTGGAAATGAAAATAAGTACTGCCTGAACGTATACAGAAATATCCAAAGATAACATTATCTAATGTTATTCATTCGAGAAATACGTATTTATAGTGTTTTATGTTATAGGAATCATTCTAGGCATGGGAGATGAGGCAGTAAACAACAAAGACAAAATTCTTGGCCCCAAATTTCAAAGTACTATTACATACACTAACAAAGATTAACAAGACATATGCAAATGCTCACATTAAGGAAGACACAAGAAAGCTGCCGCATTTGGTAACAGAATCAGTAAAATCACATTAAAGCAGGTAGAAAGAGCTAAATGCAAAAGAATGCAGAATTATCTCTCCACAGCATACCTAAAAACAACTAAACCAACAAGAACCATCTTATACAAGCTACTTTAAAGGACAGAAAAAGAGTGGATGCTATCCAAGTCAAAAATACCACTTACATTTACAAAAATTCTAAATACCAGTAAATTAAATCCAGCACTGCACCATATGAAAAAACCATGACAATGAGGATCTCCAAGACATATTTACACAGTACATTTAATATACACACACACCTTTTTTTTTTAGACAGGGTCTTGCGCTGTCATTCAGGTTGGAGTACAGTGGTGCGATTTCAGCTCACTGCAACCTCCACCTCCCAGACTCAAGTGATTCTTCCATCTCAGCTTCCTAAGTGGCTAGGGCTACAGGCATGCACCACCATGCCTAGCTAATTTTGTATTTTTCTGTAGATGGAGTTTCACCATAAGTGATCCACCTGCCTTGGCCTCCCAAAGTGCTAGGATTATAGGTGTGAGCTACTCTGCCTGGCCCACACAAAACTTTTTGATAAGTAGATTTGTTCTGTGGTTTTCCGATATTTATTATATATAAATGGTATCACACCAAACAGATAAGCTACTGAGGTCTGGTAGGATCCATGATAACACTTACCACTCTGAGAAGGCACTGAGATGGAGGGTCATAAAGAAGTGGGAGGGGTAATTCAGGAAGACATTCATATAGTCTGTTGATATAGTACTTTTGTTATCGGAAATCTATATAGTTTAAATTTAAAAATTAACAATTCTCTCAAGTAAATAATTATGACAGAAAACTAACAGAAAATGAAGAAACAAAGTGTTCTAACCATCATACCAGAGCCATGAGAATGTCCATGACCTCCATGTTTGAAAACAAATATTCCTATTAGGTTTACCACAAACCCAAGAATGGAAACAAGTAGCAGTCTCTCATGGTGGACATCTGGAGGGGCTAATGCTCTCTAGAAAACACATAATCCAAACAAATAGCATTGATATTCTTTCTGATTAATCAACTAAGAAAATCATAAGGCAATATTACACACTTTCAATTATTTTCAGAATTAAAAGCACTAACAAAATCTGCCAAAACATTTCATAGAAATAAAAGCAGTGCTCACACACCATAGAAAAAGTAACAATTACTATTTTTAAATAAATATAAACATTTACAAGTATAAATATTTGTTCCAAAACTTGTTCTTATTTGGTATCTTAAAATACTGTCTTTCATGGCTCACGCCTGTAATCCCAGCACTTTGGGAGGCCAAGGCAGGTGGATCACTTGAGGTCAAGAGTTCAAGACCAGCCTGGCCAACATGATACACCGTCTCTACTAAAAATGCAAATAAATTAGCCGGATGTGGTGGCATGCACCTGTAATCCAGGCTACTCGGGAGGTTGAGGCAGGAGAATTGCCTGAACTCAGGAGGCGGAGGTTGCACTGAGCCGAGATTGTGCCACGGCACTTCAGCCTGAGCAACAGAGCAAGACTTCATCTCAAAAAAAAAAAAAAATTGCTTTTCATTTTAAATTCACTAATCTTTTAGTTTTCTTCCTTTTTAAAAAATATGCCACATGTTAAAGATTCACTGGAAAAACTCTCAGGTTCTAATTTCTTATTGACCTCACTAACCAGATTATGCCTCTACATTTCTTAGTGTTAACACTTCACCCATAACTTGTAAGCACGATCATTGAATTGTTTTGAATTCCAAGAAGATTCATATATATTTAATTTTTTTACTATTTTGTAAGCTCCTCTTGTACATACATAATATCTTCTCTAATCCAAGACTGTCCACAATATTTAATGATAGTTGAAAACAACTGTTGTATATCTTTAATTAATAAACATCTTCATTACAGAAATGTAATTTACTGACTTTAAATGATTATCTACTATACCTCAACTCCTTCTGAGAAAATAAAAAAAGCAGTGAAGATCAAAAACAGGCCATTGACGAAGCCAGCCAGAACTTCTGCTCTAACATACCTACAGAGGAAAAAAATAAATAACTGAATTATTACATTATTTCTTAAAAATTAAATCATAAAATTACATAAATTCAGAGATTCTAAATCGTATGATATGGTTATAAGTGGCCAGCAAAGTCCTAGTATTTATAGTACAGTGTATTTTATTTTATATATATATATATATATATATAAAATGTGGAAATGAATTATTATGAATTATGTTTAAAAGCAGAATGCCACAAAACAGATTTTTACAAGCCAATCAAAAGACCTTCTTAGAGTAAGTAGTTTTAGAAAGACCTTTCACAAAAATTTAAATCTCAAGTTGCCACTGGAGAAGAAAAAACAGAACCAGGTAAGTGGAGAAAGAAAGGATTCAGAGATAAAAAGTAGAAAAGGGGGTCTGGAAAACGGGGTTTTTTAAGCTTAATAATTTCTCCTTTTCTAAGAACTCCTTATGCTTTCTGCTTTGTACCGTTTAGCTTTCAAGTCTTTGGAAAGTAGAGCTTTGCTTCTGAAGGAAAATGAAATTATTTCTGACTTATCCCAGAGACAACTTGAGATTTTTATTTCTAATACTTTTTCTAAGATTAATAAGTTTAGCATAAACCTTCAATTACCTATTTTTAGAATCTATTTTAGCTTCACATAATTCTAATTAAACTATTTTAAAAATACCTGTCTTTTGTTCCATGGACTTCTGAAGCTTTCTGCTTCCTACCTGTATGAAGCATTGGGGAAAGATTTTACTTTTCTATATGGTATATTTGGCTTAGTTAAAGTTACCAGAAAGAACTTTAACTTAGCATTTTCAACTTTAATTAAGCATTTAACTTAGCAACATGTTCAAACACCATTCAAAGGGTGCTAACAGCAGTTAACCACTCTGGTCCTTAAACAGTATAATGTGATCATCAAAACTTGTGCTTTTCCTAGGTTTCTATGTTAACTTCTAGGTAATATGATTTTTACTGTAAAAATATTTTTAAAGAGAATTCTTGAAAATGTCTTCTATAAAGTTATGTTGGAGTTTATGCTGTCAAGTGCAATCCAACACAGCATGTATTTCTATGCCAGAAATAATGCCTATTTCTAACACATCCAAATAACATGTTACTTGTCAAAACATAATTTTTTTGTTTTTCTGGTGAAAAGTTCATTAAATTCAAATAATTTGCAGCCAACTTTCCATAACCTACACTTAGGAATTTATCTAATCAATCAGCAGGGTTACTATCCAAAAATAAAAAGTATTTTTGTTTAATCCACCCTTGTAGTCCCATTAACTAATGCTTGACTGAAAGCCTTTTGTGCTTGAGTTCTACCAGATTTCAGGATCAAAGGCAAGAATGTTTTTCAGGCATCTTTTTGTTTCTAATTCCTAGCTTAGTAGGTGTGCTCTCTAAGTTCAGATAAACTGTTGGAGTGATTTAATTAGCTTGAGCTTAACACACATTTGTTAAACTTGGTTGTAGGTTCAAAACTAAGAACACGGAAAAACTAAACACACTTGCCTTTACACATAACTGTGTTTACTTAACAGATTGAATAGGTCTTAGAATTAGAACATGTAATTCATGAATGTGCTGTTGCCTAATTCAGTATGACTGGTATTTAGATTCTTGAGCCAGGAAGAAAAATAGAAAAAATTTAAGTGTAAGTACACATGTATATACGCTTGTATGTATGTATCTATCTACCTACTGGATGTGTATTACTTTTATGCCAGCTTTGCTCTTTAAAAAATAAGAGTGTGGCAAGATACAAAGATGACTTTTATATAAAGAAATACTTAAAAGTCCTTGCTTGCTCTCATATTCCACAACTCCTTCTTCTACTGCAGAGTCAGTCAGCTACTGCGGTCATCCTGAATTGGCGGGGGGTTGGGGGGGTGGGTTGTGTGAATTCAGCCCTATGTTTAACATGAATTAATCAGTGTCATTTTGATGTCCTGACACCAGTAGTTTACAAATGATGCTACTTATTACTACAGCAATCATTCATAGTGTTAAAGATTGTACCAGCTTTTATTCTTTAATCTTTCCCACAAGAAAACACACACACATAAGGAGAAGACAGGATTAAATTAAAAGTGGAAAGAATATTATTCTCTTGTATCAACTAGCTAAAGCTGAATATTAAAATCTGCTGTGGTAGTGAAGGTATTCAAAGCTATTTCTAAAAACCATTTTAGAGCAGGAGACAGTACATTCTAAATTGGAAACAATAGAAACTCTAAGCATTAAAGAACTGAGAATTTTTAATAGTCAGCTACTGTTTATTCAGAAAGACTGTTGTATTCAATTAGATTCCTGATATATAAGTAACTAATTTTCCAACAAAAAGTATAATTGGAGATAATATTTCTTTAATAATCTAAAATATACTTAATCTTTTAGTAACTATTGTTTAAATTATTCGCATATCACCAATATCATGCCATAAAAAGTGTTTTTATCTGAACTGTCAAGCTGTTTGAGTTTATAGATATACAGGATCTACTGCTTTATACTATAAAAGGTAAAATTAGTATTTTTTGGCTCTTTTTATAATTTCACAAATAACCATATCCCTTGGGTATAACTAAAATCAGCAAGTTCTGCCACAGAACTTCATATCTCCTTTTTGGCAATCATCACAATATATAGCTATTACTGTATTTTTACAGAACTGTTTCCCCATGACACCACAAGTTCCTAGAAGTCAGGAGGCATGTCTTATTCATCTTTATATCATTAAAACTAGAAAAGTATTTGACTGATATGGACCCTCAACAAATATCTAAAAAGAACAAGAGCATGTGAAAGAAAGAGTGTGTACTTGCTAAAGGAAGGAAGCAAAGCCAGAGAGAAAGAGGAAGTAGTGAAGGGACAAGAGTAAACGACAGAACAAGAGGCATAAGACAGTGCATGTAAGAAGGTGGTTGTAAAAACGATAGAGAGTGTGAGAGAAACTGCACAGGAAAGGGAGAGCTCAGGGAAGGAGAATCAGTGAAGGAAGGAAAGGAAGACTTGGAAAGGGAGACAAAAAGAAGCAGAGCTAAAGAGGTCAACAGAAGGGGAGGAGGAGAGAGAGCCTGAGAGATAAAGGGTCAAAAGGTAGAAGAAAAGAGCGGGAGGAAAGAAACAATAAAACAGGAAAAGCAGAGGGGGAAAGAAGGAGAAAGAGAGAGGAAAAAAGATCATGAGCACAACAAGCCCAAGTGACAAGCGGCAAAGAATAAGAGAAGGAAAAGGAAGCTCAGGAGAAGATAAGAGAAAGTAAGAGCAGGATGGGAACAGGAGCGTGAGAAAGAAAACATGAGAGAGAGAGATGAAGGATGAGAATGTAAAAGAGCACTCACAGGGGAAAGGAAGAGGAGGAAAAGGACAGAGGGAAAGAATCAGTAAAAAAGTAGAAGAGAGAGGGAATAGGGAAGACAGAGGGGTGGGGAAGAGAAAGAAACAGAGTATGCATCCTGAGCTCTGCTTACACATATATAATCACACTGTGAAATATTCTGTCAGCTCAAAAAAAGAAACATTCAGGCAGTGTCATCAAATAGTGAAAAATCCATTGCTTCCTCCAATCAGAGGTGGCAAAAATCAAATGATGCCTCTAAGACGATCCAGTGTAGTCCCTTCAGCGTAAAGCTACTCTACAAATATTTGATTAACTGTCCAGCAAGCATATGAGAAGAAATATGTTACATACAAGCAGATTTTTCTTCTTACCCATAAGAGAAAGCATCATTATCTCTCCATTTTGAAATAACAGAAGCTGCCAGTCCAGCCAAAATGGCAGTGCTATCGAAAAACATGTGAAAAGAGTCGGAAATCAAGCCTAAGCTGAAAAAGAACAAACACATTGATAAATTATAATAAAAACCAAATACTAGGCATCCTTCTCTGAAAATCTAAGATTCAATCTTTGTTCATCAGGAATTAATCTACTAAAACAACAATTTAAATATGCTATATAGATAGCTATCAAGGATAAGTTTTAAGTATCTAAAAAGTAAACCCTTACACTCCCACACAAGGAAAAGCCCAGCTGCTGTGAGAGAGGTAGAAACAAAAACATCTGCTGCTGGGTACGGGGTAGGAATTTGACCATGCCTTAGCCACTTGCAAAGGTCAGATGCCACTGAAAGAGAGGTAGGAAAAAAAAATGCCATCTGCTACTGGGACAAGGCTGATACCTACTTGCACCTAGGATCTTACAAAGCAAAGGTTTGCTATTGTTGTGTGTCCTGCTCCTCCCTTTTGAGAACAGGCTGAGGACAGTGGAGACAGGCTGGGAGAGAGGGAGAGCTGCAGGATTGTTATTATTTACCCTGACACTCCAGTGCACAGGCTTGCCTGACTAGGGATACAACAAGATAACCTGGTCCCGCCCTTCCCACTAAATCTTGAATAAAGTATAGGGAACAGCAAACTACCAGTGAGAGCACTGAGATATGTGCAGAACTTGCTGAAAGCTGAAAGTAGAGCAAGAACCCTGAAAAAAATCCTCCAGTACTCCAAATCCAATACTAATCACAAAGTAGTAGAAACCACTGGAAAAATTTAAACACTGTGGTTTATCAGCAACAACAAAACACAAAACCCAGCTCAACTTCAGTTCAACTATTGACCAGATAGTTTCAAAAGTCCCACACTAGTGGCCAGACAGACAAATAGGTGGGCCTATTTCTGGACATATACAGTCTCTATTATTCTTTTAAACACAATGGCCAGCACTCAATGACAAAATCATGAAAGAAAAAAAGAGAGACTCACTGTTAAGAGCTACAACAGTCAACAGAATCAGAACCAGAAATGGCTCAGATGCTGGAACTATTAGCTAGGACTTTAAAACAAATGTAATTAATATGTCAAAGGATATGGTATGAAGTCAGAGAAAATTCATTAACAAATGAAGAATTTTTGCAGATAAAAACTATAAAAGAATATAATAGAAATGATAAACTTGTTTTAATTACAATATGGAGGAATAACATTCATGGGCTTCTGAGCAGACTGACACGGAGAGAAAGTATCAGTTAGGTCAAAAGAAGTTATATGAAGTGCAACACATGGAGAAAAGGGAGTAGAAACAAAGAAAGAAAGCAGAGCAGCCCAAACCTGTCGGGAAGTATTGAACACACTAAAATACATGTATTTAGAGTCTCAGGAGCCAAGAAGAAAAAAAGAAAGGGGTAGGAAAAGTATTTAAAGAGAAAATGTTTCAGAATTTTCCAAAATTCATAAAAGAAATCATACAGATCCAAGAAGCTTAATGACTCCCGAGTGCCAAAAAAACCCTATACACTTCACAAACCACTGAATACCAAAGAGAAAGAAAAAACTTTAGAAAACCAGAGGGGGAAAAAATAGAAAAACTAAATTTAGAAAATAAAGATATAATTTATAGCATGTTTTTCATCAGAAACTATTCAAGCCAGAATGCAATGGAGCAACATCTTTAAAGTACTGAAAGAGAAAAAAACTACTGCCAACAACCTAATGTATGACAGTAATAACACACAGGATGGAATAAGAAAATCAAAGCGTATCATTGTAAGATTCTTATCAGATAGACACATGAAATGACATATTATTTTTGATAACTTAAAGATTAATATTATACACACTAAAGTACCCACTAAGAAAAGCCACCGAAGGAAGGACAAGAAACCCTCTACCAACACAAAGCAGATGTTCTGCTATCACTGGCGATGCAGCAGGAAAGTTGTCTCCATCCAGGACCATACACAAACACACAGTAGAGTTTGGCTGTCATAGAAGGAGTAAAAATGTTGACAAAAATCATACCCCTGAGGTTTAGGCTTACAGAATCTACCAAAGATGAAGGCTGGGTCAAGTTAACAAGTAAATTCACCATAAACTGGGTACTGAATAATAAGCAACAGCAGTCTACAGCTTGGGTAGGGGCAAGAGGGTGAAGAAATGAGCTTCTGTGGCACAGGCACCATACAAGATCTATGAAAAGCACAAGGTCTAACCAACTAATGGTCTGACAGACAAGGCATACCTATTTCTGATCATAAATGCTATTACCTCAGTATCTACTGTTTTTTACTCATAATGTCCAGTATTTGATTAAAAATTTCAAGATACACAAAAAGAGCCAAAAAAAAAAAGTCACTGTGGAGAAAGCAGTTAACAGAACCAGACCAAGATACTGACCGAAATACCGGAGCTATTATAAACTGTAATTAAGACATTAAAGGATCTATAGAAAAAATGGACAAAATATATGAGCCAATGGGGACTTGAGTAGAGAACTGGGAAATATAAAAAAAAAATCAAATAAAAATGCTAGAAACAAAAAACAAGGTATCAGTGATAAATAATTCTTCTAATTGGCTTATCACAGACTGGACACAGCTGAGGAAAGAAATCAGTGAACTTGAAGAGAAGTTAATAAAAATTTTCTGAAAGCCATCATTGCTTTAATCTTTAAAAACAAGCTTTTGAAGTCAGAGTACCTGGGTTCAAATCTCAGCTCCATATTGACTAGTTCTGTGACTACTAAGTTGCTTACTTTCTTTATGCCTCAATTTAGCCATCACTTAAACAGAGTAATAGTATAAAAGTGCCATAATTGTTATAATAATTGAGTTAATATATGTGAAACATTTACCACAATGCTTGTCACATTAAAGACATACAAATTTTCCTATTACTAATTATTAATAAATTACTATTATTAACTATTACTAATGCTTATAATGTCTGGTGTTCCCAAGCACGACCCATACCTCTTAGTATTTGGCTAGATGCTAGACATTTCATCAGTTGGAAGTGCTACAAACTAAAATCAAAAACATTCTACATGGTTTTAAAGTATAGTTTTAAATTTTTTTCATAATTTGGAATAATTACAGAATTCAAAACTAAGTCAAAGCACATTATTTACCCACAAGAAAAAGCACACTAATTCATAGATATCTGCCAAATCATTACAAAAGAGTTTAGAAAATGTCTTAAACTTTTATCATGGACCTTATTTATTCCACTGAAACATAGATAGATATATTAGAAAGTTTAAGTGCAGATAGTATTTTAACCTTCTCAACTGATACCTAACTCAAAGCAGAATGAGAATCTGTGAATACATGAAAAAGCAAAATGATAAAACTGATACATGAGGACAAGGTAAGGGGCATGTTATTCATGCAATTCTCTTAGATTTAATACTTTAAGATTTTTTTCTTGGATAGTTAGATTACTGAAAATTACACACTTCAAACACAACATCTCTGTAACATGGAAAATGATTTACCTTTATTTTGAAGTATGAAAGACTCGTGAACAATTTTTCTATACTATGATAAAACAACTATAAAGACATTGTCTATGATTTTGTTTCTATACCCCAAGAAAAGATTAATATGACAAAATACTGTTAAAATTTGATTTCAGAAAACTATCTTTCTATTCTGATAAAATGGCATAATTGTGTTCACTTTATAGAATTTCTTGTAACTAAATTTAAAAGTTTTGGGAACTAAATTAGACTACATATTTAATAGGTTTATTTTTTCCTCCATAGGTGTGTTTTTTAAATGTTTTAATTTCTTAACATGTTTTATTAGTATATATGATTTTTATTTTAAATTACTGTAATCAGTTTTAGAAGGCAGGGCATTCATTCTAAATAAACATTTACTAATTTATTGATCTATTCTACTATCTATTTCAGTATATATTTAGTAAGACATTGTCATGGGTTGAATTGTATTCCTGCTCCCAGATTCATATGTTAAAGTCCTAACCTCTAATAACTGAGAATGTGACCTTATGTAGAAACTGCTTCAATGCAGATGTAATTAGTTAAGATTAGATCATTAAGGTGAGCTCTAATCCAGTGTCCTTGTAAAAAAGAGAAATCTGGAAGAAGACACATAGATCACCATGCAAAGATAAGGCAGAGATCAGGTGATGCTCCTATAAGCCAAAGGTTGTCCAAGATTACCAGCAAACCAAGTGAAGCTACAGAAAGATCATGGAACAGATTCTTCCTCAGAGCCCTCAGAAAAAAAATCAACCCTGATGACACCTTGATCTCAGACTTCTAATTTCTAGAACGGTGAGACAATAAATTTCTGTGGTTTAACCCACCTAGTTTGTGGTGTTTTGTTACATCAACCTAGCAAACTAATACATACTACTTTTTTTTTTTTAACAAATTTATTTTATATATATCCAACACACCAAACATTACCTTAATGCAAAAAAAAAAATTCATTTTGCATACAATAGCAGTCAAGTTCCTTTTAAAGAGGTGTGGCTATAGCATGGTAATTTTAATACTCATCAAAATGAAATTTTATTTATATTTTATGTAAATTTAATTAGCATTAAAATATTATTTGTAGTACTTAATAAAATGTGACTACCTGAAAAATTATTCCCTCTTCTGAGATGGAAGAACATTATGCTCTCTTAAAACACTGCAATATGAGTTTCCCTTAAACCTGATGTCATGATTTAAAATTACCAGCTGCAAATATATACACAAACCCATGTGAGAAACAGTCTACTTTTAGTTCTCTGCTCACCTATCACATGTAAAAGTACTGCTTATAAGGAATGTCAATTTTACCGCTCATATTCAATCTTAGCATATGTTTCTGATTATGAGATATTTAAACTATACAGCATAAATTTCCTTAAAAAATAAAGGTAGCATAGAAAATACCTAAGGTTATATGATTGAAACACCAAAGGTAACTTCAGTAAACCATGATAAAGAAAAACTGGTTGTGAAAATCTGTATACTTGTTGTACACTCCTCTTTAAACAATGCTAGTTTCTCTAAAATGCATTTGTAAACTTATTAAAATGACTACCTTCTAAAGAGATTTTAACATGGAAAACTGGCCAGGTGCAGTGGCTCATGCCTGTAATCCCAGCACTTTGGGAGGCCAAGGCGGGTGGATCACCTGCGGTCAGGAGTTCAAAACCAGCCTGGCCAACATGGCAAAACTCCCTCTCTCCTTAAAATACAAAAGTTAGTGGGGCTTGGTGGCATGCACCTGTACTCCCAGCTACTTGGGAGGCTGAGGCAGAACAATTGTTTTAAGTCAGGAAAGGAAGGTTCTAGTGAGCCAAGATCACACCACTGCACTCCAGCCTGGGCAACACAGTAAAACTGTCTCAAAAAGAAAGAAAAAAAGAAAACGTATTAGTGTACAAAGGAAAAACCTGAATACGGAAGCAAAAACAGCATAAATGTCAACAGAACATATGGCAAAAGAAACTTTTGAAAAGAATTTTATTTACCATCTATTGGAGGTAAAAATAAAGGGAGAAGAGAAGCTATAAACTAAGGGAGACTTAAGAGACATATAAGCTAAATACTACATATGGATCTTGTTTGATTTCTAATCTGTAAAACCAAATGTGAAAATAATTATGAGACAATGAGGAACACCTGAATACTCACTACCTGCTATTAAGGAATCATTAGTTTCACAGGTGATAATGGTTTTGAGTCATGTTAAAGGAGAGTGGATTTTATCTTTCAGAGACGTATAATGAAATAGTTATGGAAGAAATTACATCTTCTGTCTGTTTTAAATCAATCCAGTGGTGGGACATGGACAACAGATGAAATAAGATAGACCATGTACTGATAAATGTTAAGGCTGGGTGATGGGTACATGAGGTCCATTAAACTCTCTACTTGTATATATGTTTAAAATATCCCATGATAAAAAAAATTTTTTAAAGCTCTACTGGTAACTAAGCTAACAGTATATATTGTTTGTTAAACATGTGTTCAAAATTGAAAATAAGGAATCATAATTCACAAATCCTTTACCAGCTAGTTTCTATGATGTGGAAAGATGGGGGGGGAGATATTGATAATAACTATCAATTTATTATCAGGAAATTAGAAAATTCTTAGAATTCTGACATTGGCAAACTCGATAAACTAAGTGAGTTACAGTAAAATAACCCACAACTCCACTACATTCCATTATACAGTCCCTTATTTTAAAAATATTCTCAGCAACATGGAATACTTATCTATGTTTTTAAGGTAGAAAATAAAACTATAGGAAAGCAAAAAGCATCACCAAAGTTGATTTTAAAAGACAAAGATATATGAAAATTTGAATAGAAAAACGTGATTGATATTAGCATTCTTCTTCACTGAGGAGTTACTTTACAAACATCTGCTGTGAAATAGTATATTGAAGTAAAACCAAATAAATGTCTCATATTGTGTTAAACATTTCTTGAACAAATATTTACTTTGCTAACACAAAGACATTAACCTTTAGAGTTACCTAAGTATATTCTATGTCTAAGGGAAAAATGGTTCCAACAGCTTTGGTAAGAAATACTACTGAAATTAAATCTGCTAATAATGAGGTAAAAATGAAAGAAAACCATAAAAACACAGCAACTATTTTGAGATACTAGAAAAAAACAGCATGATGGGATTGACAACTTGGACAATAGGTGCTGTAGGCTCTGCTGCTCAGTTGGGAAGTAAAAAAACTCTAGGCCTCAATAGGTTAGATCATAGCTTAGTTTCTCTCATAAAGACTACATTTGCAAGTAGGCATAACCATGTGATAAAGTTTGAGTGAATGCATTGTGTGTTAGCATCCAGATAAATCTTAAAAAAATAACATGCACACCTTTTGCCTCTTTTTCTCTGCGTTCTAGACATTATGCTGCCAGGGATGGCTAGAACACTAGCAGCCATCTTGGAAATGAAGTTTTATCTTGTTTAAGCAATCATTATTTTAGGTTTTTGTTTTGTTTCATTTTGAGATAGAGTATTATCTCTGTTGCCCAGGCTGGCGGGTGGTGGTGCAATCTCGGCTCACTGCAACCTGTCTCCCAGGTTCAAACAATGTTCGTGCCTCAGCCTCCCATGTAGCTAGGATTACAGGTGTGCAGTTTCTCTGTAACTTTAAAACAAACTTAACCCTAGATGGTACAAAACTACATTCTTACACTACCTTGAAATTAGTCAGTTACTCAACAACAAACTAGTAAATGAAAAATAAAATACTAGAAGAAAAGCATCCTAGAAGGAAGGGAAAAATCACAAACAGTATTTTTACCATTTTCTTCACAATTTCTAAGAGTGAGAGAAAGGGATTTAATGTTTTGTCATTGTTGTTTTCCCTTAACAGGGGTAGTTAGCATGTTTAGTATAGGTAGTGTCATTCTATACATTAATTATTCCCTCATTTTTTCATTTAGCAAATATGTATTAAGCATCTACTATGTGCTTTGTACAAAAGTAATTGCATAAGATAGAAAAGATCCCTACATGAATAAAGTTTACATTCCAGTGGAAAGATGAAAGATAGCAGATATTTAATGAGGGGGAAACATATATATATAACAACTACCTATTCTTCTGCTGAAGATACCTACTCATCATCAAAAATATAAATCAACTATAATTAAGTTCTTTCATTAAAATGAAGGCTCTGAACAAGAACTAGAACAATTTAACATCTGTTAAAATTAGGTACACTGTTTCTATGAACCTTTATTTGTGAAATGTTTTATTCATGTTTTAGTCCCCTATAGGAAAAAAATTCCTGATATTTCATGTTCCCAACAAGTTGAACTTTATTTTTACAGAATGAAATTCAACACAGAATTGACAATGACACACCTAATGAGTTTTGGAAGAAATATAATCAAGGAACTCTAAAGCTAATCGAACCTACAGGAATAGAGATAATCTGGTCTTATAAAGAAATTATTGGTCAGTCAACAAAAGGAGCTAAAAATTTGGGTGTCTAAATAAAACACAGAAAGTCAGATTATAAAAAGTCCAGAGAAATTTCTAAATCTGCCCAAATATCAATGAGATCTGTACTCAAAATTAATATTTAAGAATAATTGGTTGTAAATATGGAGATTGACATAAATGGGCATGAGATGACGGACACGTGCTAAATGATCTAGGTACAACACACACGGCAGCTAGATTTCAAATCTAACTAGAAGACATAACACAATGACAAACAGTATAAGCTGGACTGGTAAAGAAGAACATGTCACCTAGGGGTAAAAGAACAAGTCACCTACAACTGATGTCTTTGTTATGCACTGCTGCATACTAACTTAAACAATGGTTTTAGTAATTTCTCCAATAGATCTCTACAGATCAGAAGTTACTACAGCTGCAACTTTCCATGAAAGGTGGTTTAGCAACTTCAAGTATGAATCTCTTGAACCAGATATTTCACAGGGTGACATGCAGCGGAAAGCCATAGTGAAATATTGAAATATAAACTATCTGTAGCAAAATATGCATATATAAGCTATGATACACTCTTGATAGTCAGCACATATGTCAAAATTATAGCATAATTTAGGAAAAGAAAAATGTAAAATATATTGTAAATATATATTTATGATAAAGTGTGATTTCAAGTAAAAGTGTTTCCAACATCTACAACATATTACAGTGTGTTAATATTATGGGATCAAAAAATTAATCTATGATGGGGTATCCTTCAGATAAACATATCTGATTCCCAAAGGATTCAAAATGGTTATTACAAATATTAAGATTTCATTGTGTCGATATCCCTTTATACCCAAGTGTTAACTAAACCAGTAACCTTCATGATCTGCTGTTTATTATTTTTGGTAAAACTGAATTGACGGTTGAATTGAAAGAAGCCCACGTATTACAAAAAAGTATACATGTCACAATACCTGGTGATATTACCTGTCAATGTTTGATCTCAACAGAAGTAAAGATCAAGGACAGCAATTTTCTCTGAAAATGGGTCTTAAAGAACAGAGATTAAGTCTATTTAATAAATAGAAAATAGGCCCTTACTCTAGAGTCCAAGATTTAGTACAGGGAACCCAACAACATCCTGAAGATTTAGGTACAGTTCTGAGTGTTGGCTTTCATCAGATTTTTGAATGAGTATGTGATCTCAAGAAAGAGTTAGTACAGCTAGGAGTGAGGTCTTACTATTAACAGAACAACTTCATAAGACCTTAAGTTACTCAACAGCAAATACCTGAATAATAGTAACTTCACTGCCAGAGAGTTATACCCTAGATTTTCCTACTCCTAAGGATGTTTCAAAAACAAAAACAAAAACCTCCAAAGGTGCCACCAAAAGCCCAGAAATACTAAGGTTTTAGAAAACTACATGGGATTTTTTCCATCGCAGTTAAGACTACAGGAAAATCATGAGTCAGTTTCAGCATTAAAGAGAGAAGAGAATGACAATTATTTCTCCAGATATCCCTTTATAAACCCATTCCAAGCCCAAATAACAAACCAAGTAGAACATCTCAGATACACCCTCTCAGAACCTTAAGAGTGAAATCCAAATGCCACTCCCCCCTGAGAGAGGCAGCAAACAGGTTTCTCCCAATTCCAACAAAGTGAGTAAAGCTAAGGCCTGCAATTAGAAATGAAGGATTCTGTTCATCTGCTAAAACAATAAGAGGGCTTTGTCAGTCTTGTCTGATGGAGCTGGAGGGAAGGGTGACAAGAGAGGTTCCACAGGATAGGCCTCAGATATTCCTCAAGAAATGTAGCCCTACCAGATTGGTGCGGGTATGAGAAAGCAACTCAGCAGCAGCGGTAGGTGCCAAAGGTAAGACCTGAACCTCCTGGTGAGGAGCGACGTGGCATTAAGCAAACAGCGCTTCGTTCCCCCCCGCCCCCCACACCCTGCTTCCGCCCAAACCATTTTCCCCTTGGGTTACCAGTTACTCCAGATGCCGTAGAGTAGTTCCACAAAAGCGAAAGAGAGGTTCAGGCACAGGAAGAAAAACAGGTTCCGGGATGTCTTGTCGGACAGGATAGACCTGGGCATGGTACACGTGGAAAAGAGCCGGGAGAGTTAAGGAGGTGCCAGGACCCCAAGACTGGGTACCTTTTTCAAGACCCTCCCAATTGACACGCTCCTTTCCTCACATCTAGGGGTTGAAGGAGAGTTTCTGAAGCACCCTCCCTGGACCTCGGGCCACCCTGAGGTCTGGGCCTTCTCCCTTTCTGCCGGACACCCCCTCCCCGCAAACACAGCACCCCGCACCTAAACCAGCCCGAGATCTTGCCGAACAAATTGAACTTGGGTGGTTTGTATTCATCGTCCTTGATGGACAGGGGCAACATCTTCTCTGCCCGGCGAAGGGCCGGGTCTACTCCCTTCTCGAAGAGGTTCCGTGGGGTGATGGCAGTGATAGTTGAGACGCCTCAGACGGGAATCCCCAGCGCTCGTCCCGGCCCGCGCGCCGCTGCTAGACACAGACAGACCCAGACACACACCCGGGAACTCGCTTACTTCCGGCCCGGGCCGCGCAACGCGTCCTGGGACTGGAAAGGAGGGAGGCCGGTCGCGGGCGGGGCCTGCGCGGCGGTGGGCGGGGTTTGGGGCGGAGGGCGGGGCTTGCGTCGGGGGCGGGGTGGGAGCGGGGTGGGAGCTGTTGAGAGACGCTAGGTGGCAAATACCAGGAGGTGTGAGGCGGTGACCTGGGGTGGAGTCCTGCCACCCGGACTCAGGAAGAAAATCCTGAGGTGGCGACCTGCAGACTGGGCTGGCGGGGGATGGAGAGCCCGCTCACGCCCACCCGACCGCCTACCACCCGTGTTCCCGGATGCATGTGTTCCAGCGCCTGCCCTTTCGCCATTTCCCCCCACTGGCGTTAAATCCTGGTGTGGTAGATATCAGTGATTAAAAGTCTAGACAGCCACGTGTTCTACTGCCGCCAGTCTGCAGGAAACGCAAGTGATCGTTTTGCTGCGTTAACTCTATGGGCGCCCAAATCTTAGGAATCCATTACATGCTACCACCAAAACAAGCGCTTGACCTCCTGGACTGCCACGCAGGAGGCGATCAACGTTTTTCTTTCTTTCCTTATTTTTTAGAGATAGGGTCTCGCTTTGTCACCCAGGCTGGAGCGCAATGACAAGACCAAGGCTCACTGCAGCCTGGAACTCCCGGGCGCAAGTCATCCTCCCTCCTCAGCCTGGGAGTAGCTGGGACCCAGGGCGCTCGTCACCACGCCTGGCATCCATCAATGTCTTTCAAAATAAAGGTTGTTAAACGTATTATATAAAAGAAGCTTTTTACTGGTAGGTCCTACGAGACGTGCATGACTTTTAGGTTTGGTTAATGCATTGTTTACAATCTTTATTTGGTTAATGCATCGTCTACAATCTCAACCCGCGGAAATCCCGAAACTTTAGAATTCGTGCAGGTCCCTTTCGCTTCCAGGTCACCGCCGGGGCGGAGGCCGCCGCTTTAATTCTTGTCAGAACCTCCGGGCCAGTTTCAGAAAGGTGAAGGCAGAAGCCGGCGCCTCTGTCGGATGTGAGGGCGTGCGGAGCGCGGGGAGGGGAGCCCCGCTGGCCTTTCCCGGGCACCCGCGGTCGATGGGCACACTCCTTCGGGCACCTTTCCGGGAAGTGGTTTGGCTGAGGGCAGGTGGTCGGTCACGTGAGTGATTAAAAGTTGTTACCTTGGAGAAGAAATGGGGGAAAGGATTGGCGTTCGGAGGTGGGCTGGAAACTACAAAACCGAGCTTCTTGGGAATGCCTTTTAGGCTAACAGGAAGTGGAGCGTCACCGAAAGGGAGGGGCGGCCACTCGGGGACTGTCCCCTGCTCCAGGCGCTCACTTTGCAGGCGGCGCTTTTTCCAGGTTGTTAATCCAGCGAATAGGGAAGGGTAGATGCAAGCTGCTTGATTTAGAAGAAAAAAAAAACAAAAATGAGCAAACGAGACGCCCCTTCCGTTTTATGATAACCAAGCTGCATGGAAACAAATCGGCTGGCCCTACTGCAATCTACTGCACTCGAGGTAAGAAGACAGCAAAATTCTCCAGTGTTAATATTTTTTTTTTTTTTTTTTTTTTTTTTTTTTTTGCAATGAGGATATATACATGGTTTGCTCTCGTTCTTGGAACTTTGTGTGCCTGTGTGGGGTAGTAATTAAGTGGTTTTATTTTTGAAAATATGTACTTATTCTACAATTTTGAAAAATGTTCATGTTAATTAAAACTGCTGTGTAAAAACAGCTAGGTTTCAGAAGTAACTTCTGAGAAGAGTATTTTCTCTTTGCCTTTGTTAGCGTATATTTCATTATTTTAATTTAAATGTAGAAATGCTTAATATTAGTAGCGTTTACTCTTTTTTGGAAGGAAGTTTTTGTGTTAGCAGTAGACCTTGAATCTTACTCTGCTGCACTGCTGAGGAAAAAATAATCGGGTGCAAACTAGATAGTTTAAAGATAAGTAATTCTATGGTAATTGCATTTTTCTCCCAAACGCCTTTATTCGATATGATTTAACTTGGGGGAAAGAAGGGGAAGTACATAGAAATAAATTTCAGCAACTGATTTCCAGCATAATCCTAACTCATCAAGGTCAGCTGCATTTTGAACTTAGGTTTTTGTATTCTGCCTTTAAAAATAAATTCTATATTTTATACCGTATTGCTACAAATCAGAAATTGCTTAACTGGTTTATGGAGAAACCTAAATTACCCTTTTTCAAATAGTTTTGAAACAGGTACAAGAAATTGAAGTTTAATTTCAGTTACAGCAGTTTCCAGAGACTCCCAAATTCCCCCACTTCCCACCCCCAAAGATATATGATAGGTATTCCCATGAGGACCTTCTCCTTTCAAAAAGTAACAGTGATGTCTTCACATCTTTCAGTCTTGAAGGGCATAATGACCAAATTTAAAACTAAAGACAGTTTATTTGCAATACAAAAGTGTAGGTGGACACTATTTAAATCAGGAAAAGTTCTATAAGTGAAAAACGTTAGGCTGTGCCTCACTTCTTTTGTCATTGTGAAATATTGTTTGTCCCATATATGTTATCTGTGTTGTCATATCAAAGTTTGTTTCATTCATTCAACAGTCATTTAATGAATGTCTACTATGTGCCAGGCTACATGCTGGGCACTGGGGATACAAAGCCAGATAAGTCAAAGTTCTTTTCCTGGAGGAATTTTGTGGAGGTGAGAAGCTGTGAGGAGAGGGGTGTTGTGACAGGCAAATCAGCCCAGTATTTTAAAACTGTGTGATGTTTAAAATTTACTCAAGGGATGCCCTTGGAGCAGTGTGGAGGGACAGCTATCAGTCAATAAGTCTTTCTATATATACTAAGCCTTTCCTTTTGCCCTTTCAATATGTTGTATTGGAAAATCAAAAATGATGCTTCAGCTCTGTTCAAATGGTCAGTATCTTGCAAGTCGCCAATCAGAATTCTTAATTCTTTTGTATGTTACAAGATTGAATACTTTATGGGATCATAAAATAGATATACTAATGAACATTTTAAAACTAAAAAATGGATTTCTACCCTGAACTTTTAAATATGTTTTTGTATCATCTCCTACCAACTAATTACATTAGGTTAGCTATGCAGACTCTATGGGTGGAAAAACCCCAGCTGCTCAGACATGTGATTGAGGGTTCTGAGAAATGAAAGCAGAGAGAATTAAGGGGCAGAAGCTCAACTCAGTCATGGTTCCAGCTCCTTTTGGGCAATGGTCAGCAAGGAATAGGAAAAGTGCTATGTCCTTCCTCAGTAATCAGCTTTGGCATTTATCTGCAACCCTGTTTTCCCCTTTTAGATACTTCAAATTGAGTGCCCTGGGAACTGTTGGTGAAAAAAGGAATTGTAAAGGTACGTAAGACAACAAATTCTTATGAATCTAGAAACTGGATACAAATACAAATCGCTAACACGTTCAGATGTTTTGCTTATGCCATATATCCTCTGGTTTCAAATGTGGTGTAACATTAGGTAGTTGGGATCATGTGCATTTATTTCGCTTCTGGACCCTTGAATTAGGATTCTCTAGAGGGACAGAACTGATAGCATAGATGTATGCATAAAAGGGAGTTTATTAAGGAGAACTGACTCAAAGAATCACAACTTGAAGTTCCACAATAGGCCATCTGCAAGTTGAGGAGTAAGCCAGTAGTGGCTCAGTTGGAGTCCCAAAACCTCAAAGGTAGGGAAACCGACAGTGGAGCCTTCGGTCTGTGGCCAAAGGCCTGAGAGCCCCTGAAAATCCACTGGTGTAAGTCCAAGAATCCAACAGTCAGATAACTTTGGAGTCTGATGTTGGAGGGCAAGAGGCATCCAGCACAGGAGGAAGATGAAGCCGGAGGACTCAGCAAGTCAGCTTCTCCCGCCTTCTTCTGCCTGCTTTTCCTTTCCTTGCTGGCAGCCGATTGGATGGTGGCCACTGGGTCTTCCTCTCATAGCCCACTGACTCAAATGTTAATCTCTGCTGGCAGCACTCAGTAACACCTAGATATACCTAGAAACAATACTTTGCATCTTTTAATTCAATCAAGTGGACACTTAATATTAACCATCACAAGTCTACCCCTTGTCAACTTAAACCCATACACATTTCTTGAAATCATACCTAATCTCCAAGTAAATGAAACTGCTTTGCAAAAAATATAACTGAGGAAATTATGAGAGTGAAAGATAGCAGACCTAACCAACTCCATCTTTCTTCTAAACCTCTAAACTGTCCTTGTTCATTCCTTTGGAAGGAATTTAGTTTATAGTTTAAATAATAGCCCTTCCCAGCCGGGCGCGGTGGCTCACGCTTGTAATCCCAGCACTTTGGGAGGCCGAGGCGGGTGGATCACGAGGTCAAGAGATCGAGACCATCCTGGTCAACATGGTGATACCCCGTCTCTACTAAAATACAAAAGTTAGCTGGGCATGGTGGCACGTGCCTGTAGTCCCAGCTACTCAGGAGGCTGAGGCAGGAGAATTGCTTGAACCTGGGAGCTGGAAGTTGCGGTGAGCAGAGATCGGGCCACTGCACTCCAGCCTGGGTAACAAGAGTGAAACTCCATCTCAAAAAAAAAAAAAAAAAAAAAAAAAAGCCCTTCCCAAAAGCTAAACTGTTCTTATAAAACGACTGAAAGGCCAGCAGCCACCAAGTTAGGATGAGAGGGGTGAAATTCTAAATATTACTAGCCATTATTCCAGATGTCATAAAATTTGCAACTTCTGTAATTACTCTTGAAGATAACATCACTATTGTGAACCTAAGATTGCCCTTTTGAGATGTCTTTTCAGGTTTTTCATTTCTCATAACTGAATGGCCCCACCTGGACCTGCCAACCAGATCTGTGGCCCCCACCCTGGAGCAGCATGAAAGGGCTAAGATTTCATCCACAAGCTAAATCAGTACCCCCAATTCACTGGCCCACTACCCACCAGATTATGCTTAAAAACTCTGATCCCTAAGTTTTACAGGAGGTTGATTTGAGTAGCAATAAAAACTCTGTTCTCCTGCACAGCCAGCTCTGCGTAGATTACTCTTTCTCTATTGCAATTCTCCTGTCTTGATAAATCCGTTCTGTCTAGGCAGCAGGCAAGGTGAACCCATTACATGGTTACATAAAAGCAATAATACAGTCGTAATTGTGCCTAACAATACAACTATCCTTTGTACAACCAGAAGCACACTAATCCTTAACTTAAATGCTATTACATAAAATTAACAACACTTAAATGTTGGTATGATGTCAATAAATGTAACATGATACAGGAAAAAGAGGGGAAATAAAATTAAGATATTTTCTTAGTACAAGTGTACACATGCATAAACATATTCTTAATAAATAAGGAGGAAAACTCATGACAATTAGAGTCCTTTTTCTGCAACTGATCACATGTTCATAGCAGATATTGATCACTGCCTTCTTCTACTACCCATTCTGTATTACCTTTGCTTTCAGCAAGAACCTCAGCAGGTCATAGTTTTTTACTTGATAGAGTAAATTGGTACTTCAGAGAGTGAGGCATTGCTACAAAAATACCCCAAAATGTGGAAGAGACTTTTGAACTGGGTAGTAGGTAGAGGTTGGAGAAGTTTGAAAGGCGCAGGAGACAGGAAGATGTGGGAAAATTTGGAACTTCCTAGAGACTTGTCAAATGGTTTTGACCAAAATGCCGACAGTGATGTGGACAATGAAGTCCAGGCTGATGTGGTCTCAGATAGAGATGATGAACTTATTGGGAACTGGAGTAAAGGTCACTCTTGCTATGCTTTAGCAAAGAGGGTGGTGGCATTTTGCCCCTGCCCCAGAGATCTGTGAGTCTTTAAACTTGAGAGAGATGATCTGAATTTGGAACTTATGTTTAAAAGGGAAGCAGAGCATAAAAGTTTGGAAAATTTGCAGTCTGGCTATATGGTAGAAAAGAAAAACCCATTTCTGGGGTGGAATTCAAGCCAGCTGCAAAAATCTGGATAAGTAACAAGGAACCTAATGTTAATCACCAAGACAATGGGGAAAATGTCTCCAGGGCAGGTCAGAGAGCTTCATGGCAGCTTCTCCCATCAGAAGCCCAGAGGTGTGGGAAGGAAGAACGTTTTCATGGGTTGGGTCCAGGGCCCCACTCCTGCTCCGTGCAGCCTTGGGACTTGGTGCCCTGTGTGTCAGTCATGGCTAAAAGGGGACAAAAGCTCAGAACATTGCTTCAGAGGGTGCAAGCCCCAAGCCCTGGCAGCTTCTACATGGTGTTGAGCCTATGGATGCACAGAAGTCAAGAATTAAGGTTTGGGAGCCTCTGCTTACATTTCAGAGGATGTATCAACATGCCTGGATGGCCAGGCAGAAATTTGCTGCAGGCGTGGGGCCCTCATGGGGAATCTCTGCTAGGGCAGTGTGGAAGGGGAATGTGGGGTTGGAGCCACCACAGAAGTCCCCACTGAGACACTGCTTAGTGGAGCTGTGAGCTGTGGTAGACCCACAGACAGCTTGTACCATGTGCCTGAAAAAGCCACAGACACTCAAACGCCAGCCCGTGAAAGCAACCAGAAATGGGGCTGTACCCTGAAAAGCCACAGGGGTAGAGCTTCTCAAGACCCTAAGGGCCCAACTCTTGTATCTGCATGATATAGGTGTGAGACACAAAATCAAAGGAGATTATTTAAGGACCTTAAGATTTAATGACTCCCCTGCTGGATTTCAGACTTGCATGGGCCTGTAGCCCCTTTGCTTTGGCCAGTTTCTCTCATTTGGAATGGGAGCATTTTTCCAGTGCCTGTACCCCCGTTGTATCTTTGAAGGAACTAACTTGCTTTTGATTTTACAGGCTCCTAAGCAGAAGGGACTTGCTTTGTCTCAGATAAGACTTTGAACTTGTACTTTTGGGTTAATGCTGGAATAAGTTAAGGTTTTGGAGGACTATTGGGAAGGCATGATTGTGTTTTGAAATGAAATTTGGGAGGGGCCAGGGTGGAATGATATGGTTTGGCTGTGTCTCCACCCAAATCTCATTTTGAATTGTAATCCCAATAATCCCCACATGTTGTGGGAGGGACCCAGTGGGAGGTGATTAGATCATGGAGGAAGTTTCTTCTGTGCTGTTCTCATGATGGTGAGTGAATTCTCACAAGATCTGATGGTTATAGAAGTGGCAGTATTTTTCCTGTGCTTACTGACTCCTTCCTGCTGCCTTGTAAAAAAGGTGCCTGGTTCGCCTCCCACCACGATTGTAAGAGATCTCCCTAGTCATGTGGAACAAGGAGTCAATTAAATCTCTTTCCTTTATAAATTACCCAGTCTCAGGTATTTCTTACAGCAGCGTGAAAACAGACTAATACAACCCTCAATAGAAAGATGAATACCAAAATATAGCACCAACCTCACTGGAAGCCATCATCTACCTGATTGCCTAAATCTAATTTTTAGAAGACAGAATAACAAACTTTAATTTCTAAAATAACCGAAGGCTTCTGGACAATGACATTGAAAACCCTTTTTTTTTTTTTTAATTTCCTGCTGACTGACAGAAACATCACAGAAAATTCTTTGATTTCTCTTAATAGTGACAAGAGAGCCTGCTTCTGTCAATCACTGAAGACATAAGGAAATTTTTTTAAAAATTTAAACTTCAGCACAATGAGGTAAGTACAATATTTTTTGGCTTTTGTTTAATTGTTGTAAAGTACATTTATATATAATTTATCATCTTAATTGTTTTAAGTATATAGTTCAGTAGTGTTAACTGTTTTCACATTGTCGTGCAACCGATCTCTGAACTTTTTCATCTTGCAAAACTGAAACTTTATACCCACTGAACAACAACTGTCTATTTCTTCCTACTCCCAGTCCCTGGCAGTCCAACTGCTATTCTTCTTTCCGTTTCTATGAATTTGACTTCCCTAGGTAACTCATAATAAATGGAATCATCCAGTATTTGTCTTTTTATGACTGCTTATTTCAATTTTCGTAATGTCTTCGAGATTCATCAATGTCATGACATGTATCAGAATTCTCTAATTTGTAAAAATGGAATAATAATATTCTTTTGTACCTATGTATCACATTTTCTAAATGTATTATCCATTCCTTTGTCAATTGACCTTTAGGTTGCTTCTGCCTTTTGGTGCTTGCAAATAAGGCTACAGTGAACATGGGTGAAGTACCAGTACTTTTGTCTGAGAAAAATTATTTCTTATAGAGTTGGTTTTATTTCCTTGGAAACAATAGTTCTTACTTAAGCCAAAATCTTGGACAATACTGAGATCTCTCATAGGTCTATTGAAATAGTAGTCCAGGTTATAGAATGAAGTCAATACATATAGAGTTGAATATTTTTGTAGACCAGAACAAAGCTGGAAATAGAGACTAGTCAGAAGACCTACAAAATAAAAAGTAGCTCAAGTGAGAGAGTTTAGAGAGTTTGATTTGGACTTGCCACTCTTTCTGTGGCTAAGGAAAAATCATTTAATACTATATTCTCAATCTCAGATGTCTTGTCTACAAAGTGGGGTGGATATGCTTTATTTTCTTTCTTTCTGAAAATTTGAAACATTATCAATATGAGGTACTCTATAACATTAAGTAGGGAGAGCTCTGACAACTTTCATTAGTAATGCTCAGCTCTGTGAGAGCAGGAATTGGGTCTGCTTGCTTACTACCATGCCTAGCACCTGCAGTGCTGGGCACATGGTAAATACCTATAAATAATTGCTGTCTGAAGGACCACCCTGGATATTTTGACCTTCCCCTAATAAAGTAAGAAAGCTCACATGAAATGGGATTGTGTCCATCTTAGGTTCAATACCTAAAAATATTGATAAGTCATAATTCATTTGTGTGAAATCCCTTTCTCTTACAGAGTGATTTTGGAAATGAGTTTATCGCTGAAAACCAATACCGGATAAAAAAGAAAGGGTTCTATAGAACAGAACAGGGGTCTGTTGCCAGACAAAGCAGATTCAAATGAAAAGCTCCAGTACCCTGGAATGGTAAAAGTACAATATTTGCAGATGTACTTTGTTTCCTTTTGACCCATTTCTAGAACTAATTTTGCATGGCACTGTACTGAGCTAAAAATGCTTTTCTATTTCTAGGCCCTCCTCTTAGGATGTGTTGACTCCTTGGATCCTATGAGTCATGGATATGTTCCTCTTAGGAACAGGGCCACTCTTCTGCTCTAATATATGTCCATGGGATTGGTCATCTCCAAACATCATCATCATCATTATCATCATCAATAGCTACAATTAATTGACTATTCCAGGAGATCGGTGCAAAGCTAGGAAGAACTTTAATCTAGCATAATTCAGACCTGCACAGTTTGAAAGTAAAAAGGACCTTATTGTCTACCTCAGTAGCAGATAGCTGGATTGAAGGAAGCAAGTGTTGCTTTAAAACGAGTTTTTGCATAATATTTATGTTACTTCCCTGTATATCCGTGATAATAAAGCAAACTCTAGTTAATTGATAGTAGCTGCCTGAAGCATTGTTAAGAAGGAATAAGATACTTTGTATAGGAAAGAGGAAGAGGAAAACTAGAAAATACCAGGACCGATGAGCAGCTTTTGCAATGCATGTGTTAGGATTAAGGAAGGAAATAGAAACACGAGCACCTGGTGTCTGATGTCCTGTTTTCAGTGCTGCCCTTGTTCATTCTAACCTGATTTACCTGTTAAGAAATGGCTCATTCAACCTGGCTGCCAGAAAGAAGACTCGATATTTAATGTAATCAGCACACAGATGCTTTCTTCACAGCTTGCAGTGCTAAATGACCTATTGCAGCAGCAGCAATCTATTCAAATGTGATGTTGAAGTCCGTGTAGCTACTTCTCAATATTTTAGGAATTATTTACGAACTGTAGTCTAAAAAGTATAATAAGGGCAGGAGTAGGCCTTCTAAATAACGAGGTTTAAATTGGCTATCAATAATCATATATACGTGTAGCAAGTTCTATGTCAATAGAAAAGATGGATCACTTCTTCCCTAACAACTAGTTCATAACACAGTTGATCCAGATTGTACTCATCTAAATGATCCATTCATATCACTGTAATTGGCCATAAACACAAGATCACAAGATGAATCTGTGATACTGCTTGGACTCTTTTATTATTGTATATTACTATTCCTGTCTTTACTGCTGTATTTATTATTAATACAAAATAATTTAAATTATTTTGTTTTAGACTTGTGAAAAAAGTAACAAGAATTAAGAAGAACTTTGTAAGAGTAGAAGAGCTCCTTAGGAAAAAGGGAAGGGAAATCATTTAGGAAGGAGAGCCTAAAATTGGTAGAACATGAGAAGAGCTATATGGCATTTCTAAAACAACAGTGAAAGAATGACTTTCCTGAATGTGGGTAAAACCCTAAAGTCAAAAACTCTTCCCAGAAGCTTGTATAGCACCTGGAAAAGACTTGTGAAAAGTGACCTTTTCGTGTACCATTTCTGCCATTTTGTATTTTACAATGAAATAAATTCTAACTTATGCTGCTTATAATTTTAATGGAGGAAGCTTACCACGGGCAATATTGAATTGAGTTGTGTGGTGTTCTGACTTAGTTTTCTTTTTCCACCAATTGTCATGAAGTCTGTAGTTTTTGTCACTTTCTGAACCCAAACTAAATTTTCTTTTCTCAACCAAGTTAGATTTTTTTGTCTGCTTAACTCGTGTAGGCCGCCTGCTGGATTAGTAATATAGGTTCTGGTTATTATGACCTGCTAAACTTCCTTGGGGAAATTTATAAGGATGATATTATCCAACAAATGATGTTTTTCCCCTAAGGCAAATCAGCCCATTCCCCAAGAGCTTTCATAGAAACAGGGATGTTCAAATATATTTTAATGCAGAATATCTTTGAAAAGATGTGAAAAAAAAAATCAGAGATCTGAGACATCTTTTATTTTTCAAGTGGCCTGGCCACAGAACTGAACGTAGCAAGGGGGCCTATGTGGTCTGTGTTTAAGGCCACATTTCATGACATATTCTTGTCACCAGATGGGTGATGACCGAGGTCTTCTGTGTAGGGGATGGTGGCTTCTGTACTGTCTAGTCTTAATTGGGCCTTAATTTGCATTTAATCTGAGTTTATTCTGTTAATGTTTCAGGCATCCACTGATGTTTAGGATAATTTAGACATAAATTTCCTCATTTCATTCAACTATAGTGTCGCGAGCACTTAGTCAAAAAATGGGTCAGACACTGTTCTGGATTGATTATAAGGAATGACAGAAAGATACATTAAGACTGAAAAAACAGCTAGAGAAGAGTCGATAGTTGAAATACCAGATAACAAGGACTAGAAACACAGTATTCAGAGTTGGCTGGAACATTCAGGATGGAGAGTGGTGAGGGAAGCATTTACAGGAGAGGTGATATTTGAAAGAGACTTGAGGGGCAGGGAATAGGAGTTTGTCAAATAGAAAGAGAGAAGGGTTTGTAAGTAGAGAAAAGAGCATGTACCAATACACGGAGTTGTGGATTAGCTCACTACATGTAGGTGCCATTAAGGGGAAATGTCTTTTTGGAATTTGGCACCACATGCCCCTTTGCCTCAGTTTGAACAGTGTTGATCATCTGCATGCCATAAACCTGGTCAGAAACTGCTCATTGGTTGTACAGCTGTCTCTTCCAACTTTGTTTTTGCACGTTCTTACATGTGTCAGCCTAGGTTCTGCATTGGCCTCTGTATTCCACCTTGGAATGACTTTATCTCTTGACAGCTGAGGCCTCTTGTCTAAGCATTCACAATTCTGTATTCATCAGTTTATAGGCAAGTACATATTCTGGAAGATGAGCCAGAGGAGAAACAATCTGTATAGTATGAGGCAAATCTCATAGTGAAAAGCAGAATCGTTGTCATTCTTCTACCATCTGTGGCATCAAAATAAAAATGACAGCTTCTCATTGTACAAGACCATGTTGCTCCTTGCTTTTCTACCTTATGAGTCAGAGAACATAATCTTTGTTCATGCTCTACACTGGCATATTTGTTTTCAGCTTCTCTCTGGATAGTTATTGCTTTCCAGTCTGAAGGAACTAGCTTTGAGAAAAGAATCCTTCAACAGCGTTTCTTCTAGGGAATCTTGATAGATTATGTAGCAAATAACTGAGTAGCAGATCTTTGGAAATTCAAATTGCCTGGTCCTTTTTAAAATGTCTGTGATAGAATTTTGTACTGTTGTTTAATAGACTATGTATTAATTTACTTTCTTATACTATGTCCACATTTAAGAAAATTACTTATAACTTCAAATAATGCTCTTTCAAAAGCTACTTCAGTTCTCAGATATTTAAATATTACTGACGTAATGACCCAGCAATTCTACTCCTAGGTAAATACCTAAGGTAAATGAAACCATGTGTTCACCTAAAAACTTGTACACGAATGTTCATAGCAGCATTATTCATAATGGCCAAAATTTGGAAACAATTAAAACATTTATTAACTGATGAATTAAGAAAATGTACTATATCATATAATGGAATGTTACTTGGCAACAAATAAATGAGGTACTGATGTATACAGCATGGATGAACCTCAAAAACATTATGCTAAGTAAAAGAAGCCAGATACAATGGTCCTATGTTGTATGATTCCATTCATAGGAAGTGTCCAGAATAGGTAAATCCATTGAGACTG